AGTTGGGAAGAAGATAAATGATAACAGAGGCAGAGCTGAAATGTCGATGGAGAGAAATTTTTAAAAAGAGGCAAAAGACCTCTACCCCACTGAATTTTGCTGTCCGTGTTTCCATTCTGGCTACTGCATGTCTAAGTCTCTCAGAGCAAATGGAAATCACGATTATTTGTTTATATCAGCTTTCATGAGTCATTCTTTTTTTGTTTCTAAGTGATGGAAAAAATGGTAAAAAGAAAGGAGGATTTTTTCTTCTACCAGGTAGGACACAAACAGTTTTGAATTTCAATCTCAGAAGATTGCAACTGACATTGAAAGTTTTGTGGTTTTTAATTTTTCCTTACCTCCTTTTCTCACAGAGCAAAAGCTTGTACTCTGTCTCTTGATGTCTCTCGGTCTTAGGGGGAGAGGGGAAGAACAGGGCTTGGGAAAAAATAGTCCAAAGAACAATACATCATTTAGCCATGCAGTTTAGGAAAATAAAAAAGGGAAAAGCGGCAGCAAGCCAGTTACGCTGACAGCCCTGTCCCGCTGAGCGGCAGTTTCCTCTGGTGCTGAAATCCTACTTACAGTAATGTATTTCCCTGCTGCTCGCCAGCCTAGGAGTGTTTGGGGGAGATAAAAGTCAAGCTGTATGCAGTGCCTCTGACCTGTTTTTCAGTTCCAGACAACTTCCTGGTGTGGCTGCAGAAAGTTTGCCTTTCCGGATGTGAGCATGAGGGTTTCGTGCGCTGACCTGAAACTGCTATCTGTTTTGTTTTGTTTTTTTTTAATTCTCCTTTAAGGGTTACTGGAGTCTGCGTGCTGCAGAGCTGCCAATTTGCCTGCTTTCCAACCGTCACCTGCCCGCAGCACCACCATGACCCTACTTCTTGGGTCTCTGCTCTTCTGTTTTCTACCCGCGGTCCTGTTGTTTCTCCTTTCTTAGAGGCTGGGGAATTCTCTTGCTCTCCCTGGCTTTTTGCCTCATGCAGGCAACGCACCATCTGCCTGCCTCAGTCAGAGAGCTGGGATGTCAAAGTCACAGGCCCGGGCTGGGGACCCTGAGGATAATCATGGGAGGGTGGTCTGCACTCTCATAGGCGGACTCTGGGACCATCCTGATTTCCACCTTTTGAACAAGTGTAGGAAGTCATGGCCAAGTTACTTACCTGGGATGCGGCAAGGATTAAGTGCCAAGTGTCTGTAAAGTATTGGTCAGCGTGGAGCAGAAAGAACTTTGGAGCCAGACAGCCGATGCCCACGGCTTGGCTGCACCATGTAGAGCCGTATCCCTTGGGCATCACCAGGTTTGCTTAAGCTTCTGCTCCCTGGTGGGTAGAGCGGGTAATAATAGTACCTACCTTGCCAGTTCTTGAGGATTAAATGAGATAATAATAACTATGATGTTGATAAGTTCCATTTGCTGATTGCTTCCTCTGTCAGTATCTATGTGCTTTACAAGAACTAGCATATATATTTATGGTCCACTAATGGGTATATTGTAGCCATGCTAATGCATAAAAATAAACATATTACATATTATAAAGCTTTTGGTATCCATGTGTGTATACAAAGAGATTTATTTTGGATGTATAAACTGTATAGATTATACATACATCTGTATGTATAACTGTGTTACATATCATATAGATATGGAATATATGTTATTTGAATCTATGAAATATATATGGACACAGATAAATTATACAGATAGATATAGACATGATTTATTAGTAAAAAGAAAAAATGCTATATGCCAGCCTAACCGCTTCACACTTTTGAATGCATGTCATTCTCATAAGAACCCTACGAGGTGGGTATTATTCGTTATCTGCATTTTATAGGGAATGTAACTGAAGCACAGAGAGGCTAAGAGACTTTCTGAATGCCTCTCATATACATGTTCATGTATAGACAGTTATGTGTTTATAGTATATAGATTAAATATGTCTGTTCTGTAGACAGGCTGAGATGGTATTCAGACAGTGTTAGCTCGTCTTGTTATTTGTTTTATTCTCAATACAAGCTATAACATTTGTTACCTTTAGGGGATGACACCATTAGTTTTAAAAGAACCCTGGGTGGTGGTGGTGTTTTGTTTTAAACCAAAGACTGATATTGCCATGCCAGGAAAGAGCTAAGCTTAGTTCTGTTTCTTTCTTAAACATCTGCGGTTGGTTCCACCGACTTCTTTGGAAAGATACATGAGGAAGGGGAGCCCTCTGAGCCAGGCAGCCAGAGCACCTGCAGGAAGCACCTGGGTCTACCTGTGGCAACAAGGACAGCCCACTGCTTACCTGGGCGGCCCCAACCCATGCCTGGTAGGCGCAAGGGCAGCCCTGTGTGGGCGTGATGACTCCACTCCCCCAGGAAACACACAGAAGCCAAAGGACTCAGAACACAACTCATGTGGACCTTTTCAGACTAAGCTTTTATTTTTTGATATTACAAACCAGTTTTCTTTATTCACAAACCACTGTAAGTGATATAAACACTAATTTCTAAAGACAGATATACACATTTTCTGGGTTTGCAGATTGCGTGAGGTGTGTGTTAAGTCACTATATGCCACACATGATTGATAGTAATCTTTTTTTTCCATAATTCATAATAGCAATAGTTATTTAGATAAATGAAAACATTCCAAATAAATACCGTTTAAAAAAATCCAAAATGTCTGTTTACATCTCTGACATACAGTTTAAAATGACTTATTTATTGGCCTCTTGGAGGAGTGCCTGACAAAAGATTCTGTAACATCAGTTGGCACCCAGGCGGCTCTAAATGATTTTATTAAAACTACATACAATCATGGGGGAAAGTACAGCTCATCGATGTAAATCAAAACTGCAAATTAATTTTACTTGAACCAACACAGTAAGAATTCTATGTTTGTGATTCCAAATACAATGCAAATTCTGGATTTTGAAATCTGAGGCAAATGGGAGACATCACTTGATTCTCCCGAGCCCTCTGTGCCTTCTACCTTGTTCCCCTTTGGGGTCGGATGCGGTAGCATTTTAGTACATCGTTTCCCTTAAAAACATCAACCAGGCACCCATTGTCGTGACACCATCTTCCAGGTAGGGGGACGAGAATGTCTCAGGGATGCTCTAAAACACCCTCACGCACCCCCGCCCCCACCAAATCACTCTGGTGAAAAGAACATTTTTTTCTACTTTTGGCCGCTAAGCAGTTTTTTCCCCCGTTTGTTTCTCTCTTTTTTTGCAATATCACGGTGATCTGTCTTAGATAGCGAAGCTACAGAAACTCGGTTTTCAAATCTCGTGAAACTTTATTTAATATCCAACCGATCTTACTGCATGCACATAGGATGACAAGAGAAAAGCTGGATCACAAACACTTTTTTTTTAAGTTTTGTTTGTTTGGTTTTGTCTTAAAGCAGAGTTGTTACAGCAGTTTGGCAGGTTCACAGCGGTGAATTGATAGCTTTACTAAAGTGCATGCCATATGGCCTGCACCGCACACATGGAAATTTTACCTATGGCAGCAAAACTACTGGGGACGACTTGCTGCAGGATTTTTTTTTTTTAATTTAAATACAAAAACAAACAGGAAGGTCTGTGACAGACACCCCAACTTAGATTAACTTTGTAAACAGGACAACATGGAAAGACTTCAAACAGAAGTATACAGACAAACTGCAATTTTTCGGCTGTGTCATTCTGGCCCTGCTTCAGAGGTGGGGGGACTTTGTTCTTTGGGGGATGTTGAGGGTGGACCTACTTTTTTGCTTCCTTCTGACAAGTGTCCTGGGCCTTGGAGACAAAAAAAAAAAAAAAAAAAAAACTAAAGATACTGATTTGAGAGAATCCTTGGGGAAAAAAAAAAAAAAAAAAAAAAAAAAACTAAAGATACTGATTTGAGAGAATCCTTGGGGACCAGGAAAAATGGGAGGGCGAGCTCTCACGGACTGAAAAATTGCAGGTTGCTTACACGACACGGTCATGTTTCAAAAAGTACCAAGCGGATGAAAATACCATGATTATCTCTACCCAATGACTGCAATACTTGTAAAATGCTTCTATAAATCCGAATATGATTGATTATCATGTAATTCCATAAAAATTATACGTCTGTCTGTAACAGTTGTTCTACGAGGCTAAAACTAAAGCCTCATAAGACTGTTTCTAGAACTTAACAATGCCACTGCACAGATGTAAATTTTATACATTTGTTTTCACTGGTACAAAGAATTTAAGTTTTTATTACTTTCTTTTTTTTGGAAAAAAAGAAAAAAATAGAAACAGTGCTTTTTAATCACCTTTTTATTAATGTTATTTTTTTTTTCCCTCCCATAATATAAAAGTCAGCAATGATATCAATAATTTATTATACTGGAAGAAATATAAAAAGAATGCTTGTGGATGGCCTAACTACCAGTCTTTTGCCTAAATAACTAGCGGCTGGTTAAGAAGCTGAATACTGCCGGGTGGAATGGTTTAAAGGGTGGGTTTGCACAGCTGCATTCAGCTCGGATGCACAAGTGTTATCAGAAGCATCCCCTTAACAACATAACCTTTGGCTTGAACTGACAACGAGTGACTTAGAACCGTTGATATATGGTTGTTGGTGCAGTGTGGGTCGTTTAGATTCATCAGTAACTATTTTGTTTTTTTTCTTTCAGCCAAACCCCAGTCCCAACCCCCTAGGTGCCGCCCACCCTTCCCCTTTCATAAAATAAAATAACGCAGATGCAGAAGAACATGACTCCTGTAGTCACTTACACGCTTCCCAAACAGCTGATAACCCCAGTAGCTTAATATTCAGCATATATAATTCATTTACATGAGATAGCACTCTGGATATGGCCCTACACCAGTTTTTAGTCATAGCTAGCATCTCTCTAGATCAACCACAAAAACTCCTACAGCCAGCAACCAAACTACGGAACCTTCAGGAAATGAAAGACCCACAATATTAAAATACACAGAACAAAATATCTGAGGTATAAGATAAAAAATGTACTTTTTTTCCTCTTTTTATTTTATTTTTTTTTTAGATGCTAAAATGATGCACTACTGCATGTATTGCAATACCCAGGCCTCGGAAAGCTTCCTTTCTCCCCACATTGGAAGGTTTTTATGGTTTTGTCATTTAGTATGGAGCAAAACGGTTGTATCCCCCTCGGTATATACTAGCCTGCAATGAAGAAAGAACGAGACCCACATCATCAGCATGGCTCCTAGTCTTGGCATCAGTCAAGGGTGCAAAAGCATTCTGAAACAAAGCAATTTAAGGGGTGTGTTTTTTACATTTTCCTTTTGTAACACATGGATCATCAAAAAAGACTAGTGTGAAAAATAGACACTCAGAAACAACCAAGATGGAGGCGCCCCCTACCCATCCCGGGTCACTCTTAGAGAACTGAGGATAGGGCCAATCCTGACCTCCCCCAATAGCTCCTTATGCCGAAAAATCCCTGTAAAACCAAATTCCGTCGGCCAGCCCTGTGAGCTAAAGGGACTCGGGTACAAATGGACCACTGAAGGACTGGGGCTGTCTCATTTTGTTGGCTTGCTTGATTCATTAATAATACTATGTTCCGTCGGGAAAAGCTCTATCTATCTACACTCGAGAAGTCGAATGCAGATGACTTACTGAATGTAGTCATTCAACGCTCCTTTCCAACACACTCCCCAAGTGGACTGGGTGTTGAAGCGGAGCTGATTGAATGCAAAATCAGGATGAAAATGTAAATCAGCTTCTTACTTGACTTGGCTGAACAATCTGTACGGAAGTTGCTCTTGAGAGAGGAGTTGTGCAGATGAATTACTTGATGTCACTAAACTTGTGCAAAATAATAGGTTTCCAAATCATGGCGGAATTTCTACGACCAAGCTCCAGGCAACTGTCTGGCCATGGCTTTAGATGGCCTGGAGGTGGCACTTAACTATTTCCTTTTGCGAAAAGTTTTGGCGACTCGAATGAACGCCTATATGGGGATTTACTTTTAGGAGACGGACTGATATTCTCGATCCCAAGCAGAAAACTGCATCATGCCAAAAGCTTTGTAATGATTGCATACGCTCTCACGTGATGGGCACGTTACTGTACGTGTTTTAGTGCATAGAAGTTTGAACAAGTACAGGCAAATCC